TCAGCCAGTCTCCAGTCACGTGGAGACCATTGACATATGGTCACTTAATAACTTGTCTTGCTTTTATACTTGTAGAGTAAGCTTAACTAAAGTCGATTCTAAAATGTGTGTTTTCTTTGGGGAATCAATACTGTTAATTTAATCTCTTGAGTCCATTCAGGAGCCAAATCTTAAATTAGATATACCAAGAGCTGAAAGAGAAGGAAATATAGGAACTCTATGAAATCATCTTTACAGATTAAAATAAGTTGTGGAGACATAGTTCTTCATACTTGTAGAAGAGATGGCATATTGACTGTCCAAACAGGAGTGCTGTGAGTGATGCTGATTGGAGTTTATTACTGAAACTGGGAGTGATGAAAAAGCTCTAATTCCTAGGTTCTTACGGGATTTCTATTTCTGTAATATTAAGATATTACAACGCTTCCATAATACACAAATAGAATGAGGACATTGTGGTTTAATCCTGAAGGAAAGGAAGGACGAAATGTGGCTACTAAAGAAAAGCATCCTAGGAGTAGGGATAGGGACAGATAGGGACTAGCACCTGTGTTCTGTCTTCTGGAATGGGTTATAAAATAATTTCCTTTTGGAGACTAAAGACTGTCAGGTATTTCTTTAAAATACAACTGCAGGAAAATTATCTGGTTTTATACATATTTTCCTTGTGTATTACTAAAGAGTGTTAAAAAAAGTAAAGACTGGAGCACTCTCTTTCCCAGAAATAGCACAGTCTGATTTCAAATCTGTTTCTTTAACTTTAAGTATTGTTCTGAGATACAGGAAAAAAATGTGGATGTAGAGAGAAAGCAAACTGTACTTAGTTTTCTGTCTAATTTTTACATTATCAGCAGAGGAAGGTATCCAAAGTTCTGGGGTTTATCCCTTTTTTTGTGTCAATTCCTTCCCCCCACGGCAAAATGGTAGGGAATGGTTGTGAGACTCCTTGCTCCCTAATATACTGAGTGACAGTTTGCAGACGACTTAAGTAGATGTTCTTCTGAAAGTAGTAGCTTCTGCTGGCAGGAGCACTGGCTTGTGCAGATTAAAGTGTTTGTGGGACTAGCATTAGCTGCATAACTACTTCCTTGCCTTGGTGGCACTGAGGGGGAAGTGAGGATGTCGGCTGCACCCAGCTGAAGATGAAACCTGCTGCTTGGGCTGTGAGTGACTCTTCTTACTAGCAAATTACTGTGGTATGGGATGTAATTACTGCCCCTGGCCATGACTAGAAGTCGTGGCCTGTGTTGTGCACATTTTTTTTTCAGCTCTGTTCTATTACTCAAAGGCATTTGGCATCTTGATTCACAGATGTGTAGTTTGAGTGTGTAGGTGGTAGGTAAGCAGTAACATCTTCAGTTCTGCAACACATTCATTACTGATTTAATGCAGTAGTATAATTCACAGGGAAGCCTAACAGGCAGACCTTCATTACCTTCGTATTTGAGAGGAGACTGCTGTTGCTGAAGTTAAACACAAGTCTAAGTGAGTTGCGATTGCATAAGCAGGAACAGGCTTGTATAGTGGCACAAGATGTTTTGCATGATGCTGCATGCCAAGAAATTAGCACCTCAACTGTTGAACCATTATTCTTGAAAAGATACTTATCTGTGAAGGGGGAGTAAATTAAAACCTTGTTCATTTTATGGTTAGCCATCTTATCAAGGGAAATGAAGCAGATGGTAGTCATTAGTTCTTCCCTAAAATCTCATTAAGCTTGTTTGTTTTTCAAAGCTTTATTTCTGACCTACAGTTCTTATTTCCTAGGTGACAAAACGGGAACAAGACCAGAGTAAGTGTCAAATTTTCTTTGCATTCCATGTCGTCTTAGAAAACAGCTAAACTAAATATGTTGGCTTTTCTACTACTTTTATCTTGAAAGAGGCTTACATGTCAACAAGCAACTTCTGCAGTATGGCCAGTTTACTTAACAGTGGGTCATCATTTTAAGAATAGCGATTTTCCCATCAAAGGCAATACATGTGGCTTATCAGTTACGGACTGATCATGGGATCTGAAAAACGATTTCTGCAAATATATACAATGCTTACACCACAGGCTTGGATCCTGACATAGTATGTGTGCATTATTCCAAATCATTGCGAGTTGCAGCATACTGCAATGAGTGCAGAACTGTAATCTGTCACTTGACTATTTCCATGGTATTTTGTAGTCCTATAAAAATGCTTGGTACAATTAAAGCGCTATCTAAACATGCATTGTCCCTTGCAGAGACAGCAAAGCACTAAAGGATGAAAACCTACCTCCAGTAATCTGTCAAGATGTAGAAAATCTACAGTAAGTAGTGTGTTTTATTTACAATAGTTTGATTAGCTGAAGCATTGTAAATTGTTAATGCTCTGTGACATTGACTTGCAGGCTGCACGCAGGATAACTTTACTAGCCCAAGGCCTTTTGGCAGGTTAACTTTGGTAATAGACTAGACAAATAGTTCTGGTAGCTGAAGGTTTTAGCTTTTTTTCAGCTTTGTTTTTCCATGCATTTATGCATATGAGCATGCCCAACAAATATGCTCTGAGAATCTGATCTGTCTCTCCTTGGGAGTATTAAGCCTGTTGCACATGGGTACTAAGTACTGAACTTTGTGTCCATATTGCATGTGCATTGTGAATCCTGGATGGGATAAAAAGAAGTGCAAAAGAGCCTTCCCTCAGGCGGGGAGGAGGCAGGTTATAGACTAGTCAAAGAGGCTGTATGTCACTGCATTTGTGAGTATAAAGTAATAATCACTTCTATGTAGATGCTATGGTATAAATGTGTATGAAATAATTTATATATAATCTTTGTTAGAGTTCAGCATAACATGTTTAAATATTCGCTATTGAAGTTTGGTGTTGGTGGGGTTTTTTTACAGTATTAGCATGCTAGCAGTTAAGATAATACTATGCTATACAGTAATTTTACTGTTCAGTACCTAATTTTTGAAAAAAATTAATAGCTATTTTAAATAATGTGACGGGGTAAACACTGGGGTATTCTGGTTCAATATACTATGTTTCTTTCCTCCCCACCCTCTTTTCCCTTTCCCAGGAAATTTGTGAAAGAACAAAAGCAAGTGCAGGAAGAAATTAGTAGAATGTCCTCTAAAGCAATGCTTAAAGTGCAAGAAGACATTAAAGCTTTGAAACAGCTTCTGTCTGTGGTTGCCAGTGGTTTACAAAGAAACACTCTTAATATTGATAAGCTGAAGGTGGAAACTGCACAGGTATAACGGAATATATTTTTTTTAATGTATTGTTTATGTTGATTATTTCATATAGGATAGCTAGCCACCTTTTATCAGTCAACACAGGTGTCCAAACTAAACCAGCTTGGTAAACAAAGTGAAAGATTGAATCCTTTCTAATCTATTTGAAGCTATTGTGGGAGACTGAAATTTGTGATGTCAGTGTTTTCAGATAAATACAGTAGCAATAAAATTACTTTTGTTCAGGAAAGCACTCCTGCATAACAAATGCAGCAGAATGGAATGTGTGCACACTTCAGTTCAGTAGCAGCTGAATACGTAACTGAAATTGAAGACATTTGTAATAAGATGCTGAACTCATGAGCAGCGGAAATTAGTTTTCTTCTGATGACTTAAAAAAAAAAACACCACAAAAAACCCACCACGTAACATCTCGGGGACCAAAATCTCTTAAATGTCACTTGAATTCATTTATTGACTTTGAGTCACAACTGTTCACCAGTCTGCATCTGAACTGTGCAACCAGTTTGAGCTCAAGGTTTATCTAAGTGCTTTTCAAGTGAAGTTCTGTACCACTTTTTATTTCATCTGGCACGTCAAGGCTGCTTGTTCTAGAATAAAATACACTTACAGTGTGAAAGAGTTGAAGTGTTTTCTGTATTTTGTGATACCAAAAGGAAATACTCTGTAGTTGTGCCTTGGCCACACTTCTTTCCAAGAACAAAAACTTGTTACTGATATTCTCATATTTCTGTAAATGTTGCAGTTGAGAATAGTAGCAGAACCAGGCACTGAGAATTTCATAATGGTAGAGTTACTTCTGTTTTAATACTTCTAGTATGCTGTAATGACCATGCATAAAAAGATAATTTCCATAGAAAGGCATTTTTTAAACTAGTTAATTTTTTTTTTAAAAGGCGAATAATCCTTCTTGTTCTATTTTTTAGGTGTGTTTCTTCCTTGCACTTGACTTGCTTGTCTCCCACTAGTCTTCAATCATTGTAACAGAATTTCTGAAGTACAATAGACATTAGATCTTACCTCTGACAGCACAGTGTTTTCTCAGCCTCTGAGGGGTCAATGTGCTTTCAGTATGTGCTGTTGTTTGTTCCTTCCCCGAATTTCTGCTGTTTTTTTCCATTCTCTGACTTTTTGGCAGTCTGTTCTTTGAAGAATTTCTGGTCAGATTGTATCACAGTGGTAACTTAAATATTTGAAGAAAATACTGGATGTGAATAACGAGTAGAGGTGTAGCTGTCTGTCTTCTTGAACACTTCATCCAGAACCTTACCTTCTATTCATTTTCCCTATTTATTTAGGAGCTAAAGAATGCAGAAATAGCATTACGAACACAGAAAACTCCTCCTGGTCTCCAGCATGAAAATACAGCCCCAGCAGAGTGAGTTCCTGTTATTGATAAAAAATAAGATATCTGGGAAAAGAGAAGACTCTGGGAGGCCTTATTGTTGCCTTCTAATACTTGAAAGGGGCTTACAAGAAACATGGGGACAGACTTCTTAGTTGGGCCTGTAGCAAAAGGATGAGGGGTAATGGTTTTAAACTGAAAGCGGGTAGATTCAGACTAGATAAAAGGAAGAATTTTTTTACAACGAGGGTGGCGAAACACTGGAACAAGTTGCCCAGGGAGGTGGTAAATGCCCCCTGGAAACATTCAGGGTCAGATGAGACAGGGCTCTGAGCAACCTGATCTAGTTGAAGTTGTCCTTGCTTATTTTAGGGTGGGTGAACTGGGTGACCTTCAGAGGTCCCTTCCAACCCAAACCATTTTATGATTTTTATGAACTTCATACTATGATTTCTTTCCCCTGCTTGTAACATTTGTATTGAATGCTTCATAGGATCAGTATTCTATTTCTACACTTAGTTCTCATGTATATGAGAGTCTTTACTCTCTTCCCACTAGAGGGATGTCAAGAACATCATACAACATAAGTGTTTCAATTAATTAAATGAAAAATTGGCAGCTAATACAGATCAGATTAAAAAAACAAAGTGGCAAATGGTGAAGTTTAATCACACTATTTCATTTACTCATCTAGCTACTTCAGAATCTTGGTTGAGCAGTTTGAAGTACAGCTGCAGCAATACAGGCAACAAATAGAAGAACTGGAAAATCATCTTGCTACTCAAGCAAATAATTCACACATAACTCCACAAGGTAAATGTTTCAATGTTAGTGTTTTATATGTAAATTTAATAAACCTTATACCTATAAGAAACTTAGTAATTAAACTCTTCTTATTGTTGGCTTTTCTTATTTATTGTACAGAAATAAGTGTTCAGATAGATTCTGCAGTTGTTCAACGTAAAGGTTTGGAAATAAAGGTTAAGTACAGAGAGGTTCTTGAGATGGATTCCAGTTCCTGAGGTGCAGTTTGTAAGCCTGGTCTGTTTTGACATCCACCACATCCATCTCTTTTCCCTTCACCGTTTAGCTGTCACAGGGCTGATGTCTGACACCTTCAGTCTTGCCCTGGGCTGTCTGTTCAGACAAATATGGGTACCTTGCTCTGCCAGCTCCAGATCAAAATGGGAACTTTCCTCAGTTTGGAGCCTGTTGGTATTGCCTTCAGCTCTGATGGACTGTGGAAAATTTAGTCTTGTTTGCTGCCACATCATTCAATCTAGAGAGAATCTCTCTCGTCAGAGAATACTGACCTCTGGACAGTAGTCTTCTGATTGGTTGCTATTCCTGTGATTGTAGACACTTTTACCTTTTGGGCCGTTTTAGGTACAGGCCCTGCAATAAGCAGTGATTTCAGGTGCATGTCTTTTTGGGCCACATTATCCTTGAACATTTTGCCATCACAGGATGGTACCTAGGCCACGGACCTTATATTTCAAAAAACAAGAAATGTCTACACCTGTCTTCAGAATAGAAGATCTGCTGAATCCTAGGGATCCTTTATCTTTCTATGTGATCTTCTTGTCTGTCCAGACTACGAGAGGGATGCCTTCACAGATTTTCCTCAGGTTTCTCAGCAGTTTCTGTTACAATCTAAATGTTTCTTGCTTGTGTGGGCAAGGCTCAGTCTGTTGTGCTAGCAAGTGATCTAGTCAGCGCTGTATTGCATAAGTAGGATTTACCATACAGGAAAAACTTTCTGTACCATATAGGAAACCATGACAGAGAAGGTCTTAAATTTTGATATGTCTAGTATTCAGTGTTAATAAGTTGCCTTCAGACCCCAGGAAAACTTGTGGCCAGTCTTCCTAGATACCTCTGCCTCCACAACCCTGCAGGTTGGCATGAAATTTATTCCCCAGCTTTTCTCTTTCAGAAAGATATGCCAGATATAATGGAGAAATTCCTCTATGGAGTGGCAGACCTTTTCATTGCAAGAATCATTGCTAGACCTACAGGTCTTCAAGAACTTGATAGCTCCTATTTGCATTTCAGTAGGTTATATGCATCCGTTGGAGGGAATGCAGAAGCTGATCTTTTTACAGTAAAATACCACTTCAACATTCTTCTGTCCTCCATTTTGTCAAGCAGATGCCTCATTTTGCCAAAACACTTGAGATTTCCCCTTTAATCCTAAAGTTTTGCATTAGTTGGGTCAGTGTACTGAAAAGAGTTTCATATCTGTGGGAAGTAGGATACTCTAAATCCAAGACAAGAAGCTCCCCATTGTATTCCTTTTATAATATGCTTGTGGTTTGAGCTAGATTAAGAGTTCCTGTGATGCTTGTTAATTGTGTCTTTTGAAGTGTAAGTAAAACTACTGTTCTCTTTGGCAAAATCAACTGGACATTTAACTGTGCTTTAAGTCAGAGTAGAAAATATATACTAACACAAGAAAATCTGATTTAACTATATATAAAAAACAATGCGGTAAAATGTTACTGTGTAGTTAAAGTTAGGTTAAATAATATTTTTGTAGCTTGATAGAATTATAGGAAATGAATTACCATGTATGTAAAAATAAATCTGAGAAAGGAGTACTTCTCAAAATAAAGTTTGAAGCCCTTCTGAAAAGTAGTCCTTGGGTGACTTGTGTTACCCAGTTTCCCTCAAATTCTGTATTATACATGTAATATTTATGCATTATACAAATACATGTAACACATAGAGAAATATATATAATGTATTATGTAGGCATTCTATAATATGTTTGTAGATTAACTTGTTCTCATGGAATTGTTTTTGTACTTGGTGCTCTGTGAGTTTTGGGTGGGCTTCTTGCTGCAGTATAAACAGTCTTTTTTCCCCTGGCTGTAAGATTGTCACTCACCAATATTTTACATGCCTCTTACAGATTTGTCTATGGCTATGCAGAAAATCTATCAGACATTTGTGGCTCTAGCTGCACAACTTCAATCAATACATGAAAATGTAAAGGTATGTTGTTTTGCTGTGTTCCTGTATATTTAGTGAAAGAACTAGGGAATCACTTCCTGAAAGTATATCTTCAGGTATTCTTTTTTTCTTTCATTTGTTAAACTAACTGCTTTTAAAAATTTTCAAACTGTCCTGGAGCAATGCTTTGATTAAAAAAGTAATTTTTGTTCAGTTGAAGTCTAATTCATATTCTGTACTTACAATGATAATAACTAACCACAGTAATTTTAGGTTACAAAATGTTTTTCATTTAACTCCTTTTCCTTTTTAATTGTTGATCAGTTTATGAAATGTCTGACCTTGAGCTCATGCTTGTATGTTTTGCTTTTTGCCCAATGACCTCTTGATCTCAAGCAAAGATGATCTAAATCTGCTCTTACTCAAATGGCTTAAAAAAATGTAGGTTTTCATATGTAAGGTTTTTTTTTCAACATATTGAAGAACTTTGAAAATTGTGTTCTGGCTTGCTTAAGTTTTTTTTTCAACCTGGTGTTCATGGAAAATTATATGCAGAGAAAGACGACTGTGAAAAAATGCTGATGTAGCAAAGATCCTAGTTATGCTTGTGTTTTTCCATCATGGACTCTGCTTTGAATTTCCCAATTACAGTTCTGGACATACTGACAAAATGTCAACGTTTACAATCGTGATTTTTCTTGAGATGATCAGAACTCTTCTTGGTTACAAAAAAAAAAAAAAAAAAAAATTGGGATTGTTTCTGCTGGTGACTTCCTTAATGGGAATAGCTCTGGTAAATTTTCTGCTTGTTTCCTTCTCAAAGCTGCTTCTGCACATCTGAAACTTAGTATTCCTGAACTTTATTCAGGAAAATTAGAGGATCTTGTATGAACTAGAATCATTGCAGTGCTTTACTTCTGTCAGCATGGATATTCACTGTTTTACAGCTACCTGTTATCAGATATTTGTACTGCTCATAGTTAACTCTGGTTTGGTACCAGTTATAGAATATACCAGCTCCTCCATAATTTTAGAATTCATAGAATAGTTTGGGTTGGAAGGGACCTCAAAGACCATCTAGTTACACCCCCTTGCCATGGGCAGGGGCACCTTCCACTAGACCAGGTTGCTCCAAGCCTCATCCAGCCTGGCCTTGAAAAATTCCAGGGATGGGGCATCCACAGCTTCTCTGGGCAACCTGTTCCAGTGCCTCACCACCTCCTCTGTGAAGAATTTCTTCCTGATATCTAATCTAAACCTCCCCGCTTTCAATTTAAACCCATTACCCCTTGTCCTGTCACTACAGGCCCTTGTAAAAAGTCCCCTCCCAGCTTTCTTGTAGCCCCTTCAGGTACTGGAAGGTGCTACAAGGTCTCCCTGGAGCCTCCTCTTCTCCAGGCTGAACAAGCCCAACTCTCTCAGCCTGTCCCCATAGCAGAGGTGCTCCAGCGTCTCAGGTGCTCTGAGCATCTTGGTGGCCTCCTCTGGACTTGCTCCAGTAGCTCCATGTCCTTATGTTGGGGGGCCCCAGAGCTG